CCAACGAGTTCAACTACAAATTTCTTAAAAAATAGTGGGTTGTCTTTAAAGAGGACATGATGAGATTTGTTGCTAATTTTCACAACATTAGAGCATTTGAAAAAAGTGTGAATGCCTCGTTTATTTCCTTTATCCCTAAGCATGCCAACCCCTTCTCTCTCTATGATTACAGGCTTATAAGTTTAGTTGGTTGTCTTTATAAGGTCATCACCAAAGCCCTTACGCTGTGCTTAAGGAAAGTCATTGATGAAATTGTTGGGGTCAATTAGTTTGCTTTTATCTAAGGTAGATAGTTACTTGATTGTGCTTTCATTGCTAATGAAATGATTGATCTTATGAAAAAAATAAAGAGAGGTGAGATCCTCCTAAAGGTTGATTTTGAAAAACTTTTGATAACATTTCTTGGTTTTCTTGGAACTTGTCATGAGAATTATGGGTTTGGCGATAAATGGCATTTGTGGATTAGATCTTGCACTTTGACTGCCACTATCTTTATCCTAGTTAATGGCTTACCCATGAGGGAAGTTTAGATGAAACGAGGCTTTAGGCAAGGCTGCCCTTTGTCTCATTTCCTTTTCAGTATAATGGTTGAAGCCCTCAACTTTCTTATTTACAAAGCTGCTAAAAAGTGGTATATCAAAGGGGTTGCGGTCAGATTCTCGAGCATTTATGTCTCTCACCTTCAGTATGCTGATGACACAGTAATTCTTTGTGATCCTAACACCATTTATCTCACTAATGTCAAAAGATTGCTTCAATGTTTTAGATCGATTCAGGTTTAAAGATTAACTTCCAAAAAAGCTTCCTTTATGGCATTGGCATTGAACAAAACTTGGTACAATAGTGGGCGGATCAAATGCGAAGTGGGCACTTTCCCTACCATGTAGCTTTGTCTCCCTTACGAAGTTGCATCAAGTGCTACAAGCATATGGTAACTGGTCATCCGAAAGATTGAAGTTAGACTTGCTACGTGGAAAGCTAAAACTCTATCCATGGGAGGTAGAGTCATACTTTTACAGTTAGTTCTTAGCAGTATGCTTCTCTTTTACATGTCCTTCTTTCAAATGCCTACCTTTGTTTGAACTTCTATTGAGAAAATTTTGAAAAGATTTTTATGTGGAGGTCTTAATCTTGTTCGAAAGCTTCATCATGTTAATTAGGCTTCTATGTGCAATCTTCATGAATTAGGAGGCCTTGGGCTAGTAGATCTTGATTTGAAAAATTGAGCGTTGTTAAATAAATGGCTATGGAGGTATGGTAATGAGCTTGAGAGCTTTTAGAAATGTATCGTCGACAAGAAACTTGACACTTGCAGCAATAGCCTCATTCCATGTTGGGAGAATGGTAGCAAAGCCTCGAGCATATGGAAAAACATTTTAAAACCTTTTAATGGAATTAGTGATTACAATCAGTCCACTATTAATGATCTATTTATCTTTCTTGGAAATGGGAGCATGATTATCTTTTGGGATGATGAGTGGATTGAAAACTATATTCTAAAGTTTTCTTGTCCAAGATTTTTTGCCTTGACCGTCAAAAAAGATGAGAAATTGTTGAGTTTGGAGAATAGATTGGCAATGATTAGAGCTAAAAAATAGATTTAAGGAAAGGCATTTTCGATTGAGGAAACGAGCAATGGAGAGGATTTTAGAACCTAAACAAGTCTCAAGCTATTGGCAAGGACTTTAACGACAAACTAGTTTGGAAATGGACTCCTAGTGGCGATTATTCCTCCAACTCTTTTTGCATGCATGTCCTCACTTCTAATACTGCATCTGTTAGACATTGGAAGCTGATTTGGTTTGGTCTTGCAGCCCATAAAACTGAGGTCTTTTACTGGCAACTTGTCCGAGGTAGGTTATCTGTAAAGGACACTCTTCTTAAATAAGGTATCATCAGTGTCAATGCAGCCACTTGCCTTTTGTGTAAGCATGAAATCGAAACCGTTGACCACCTCTTCTTCACTTGCAAAAAAACTTGGCTTTTTTCGTAGCAATGGGGAGCTTTGTGGAGTCTGGATTAGGTGTCCCACCACACCCCCAAGGTGTGTTTCATTTCTTGGCTTGATTTTGCTACCTCTTTGAAAAATGAGTTGATTTGGAAAATGGCATGGTATGCCATTATTCGGGGTATTTGGACTGTTAGAAATGATGTGGTTTTCAAAGGTACAGATTGGGATGGTTGCCTAGATTTTAAACTTATTAAAGTTCGTGTCGCATGGTAGACTAATGCTAAATGGCCTAACTTTAATCTTTCTATTGAGGATCTTGTCCGCCTTCTTAATGAGGGTGTCAACATCCACCGTCATCAAAAGGTCAAGAAAGTTGAGGCTTGGGTTAAACTTCACAGTGGATGTGTCAAATTTAATATGGACGGTGCTTCTAAAGGTTGCCTGCGTGAATCAAGAATTGGTGGTATTTTGAGAAATGAACATGGCTCCGCACTTGCCCATTTTTCAAAGGCTATTGGTATTTCGGACTCCAGTAGAGAGAAGCTCTTTGTTGTGGGAGAGGGTCCATTATTTTTGCTTTTGGTTTTAAGCTTTTTGTTCACACTTCAAGCTGGTTGTATAGGTTCTTCATTATTAATACAAAGTTGCCTTAAAAAAATATTTTATAGACGAAATTAGGGGTAATATTATCGACGGACTTAGATCATCATTGACGGAACACGCCAATAAAGATCCGTTGTGAATTACGTTGATAAAATCCTGAAAAAATTCACTTACAAAAATCTATTGATACCGGCCACTTATGCTACCAACAGGTTGGATGCTTTGCCAATCTAATGTTCGAAGGAATATTCCTTTGGAGATTTATCGATGGAATGAGCATGGCTAACAACTGTACTTCTGACTAAATACTGGTGAAATATTCCATCAACATTATGTTAGTGATTTATGTTATTGAAAATAGCTTGTCCTTTATCAACAGAAAATTTCATCAATGAAAGCGTTAACTTCTATTGTAAAGAAAAAATAAACAATTCATTGTTCTTTTGTGAAATCTAATTTTGAATTTTTTTTCTTCTTAGATATAGAAGGGAAGAACAAAACGACTGACAGCAAAGTGGAGCAAATTCTTTTGCAATATTTGTAAAAGAAATTATAAATTGCTTAATGGACTTAAAACACATTGAGGATACGCATAAGAATACGATTTTATGCAACAGATGCAATAGGGTTTCAACTTCAGCAATGGACCTGAGTCCACATTGAATTCCTAATGGCTTTTATGGTGCGGATTCCTCAAGAAATTGATTGCAAAGCCAAGATAGATTAAAGACAACATATGAATTGGTTTATAGTTCAATTTGAAAGTAGCATCATCTAACTATAGACCTATCTTTGTATACTATATCTTCGTATGGTCAGATAGTTTAGACTTCTTATTCTACCTATACATTGAAAATAATTAGTATAAAATCACTGTTTAAGCTTTAAGTATTTAACTGTTGTCAGGAAACATGGATCAACCGTGAGTTTATCTAACATCTGAATTCATCAAAATTCAATGTTCAAAACACAGTCACGTATTTCCTTCCATTATAATCAACTGATAAAAATATTTACATGCAAGCATCATATCTACAGTGGATAACTTACCCACTTTGACTGCCATAAAACCATTTGGCAGATAATTAACTTAAAAGATTTAAATTCTGGTAAGGCTAAGTTCTTTCAGTGCACAAAACCATTTGGGAATGAGCAAGAATGGACACCTTTGGCAGATAATCAAATGGCCATATTCAAAAACGCTCAATTTAATTGGACCATAACTGTATAATAGAAAATAGGTAGCCTACCCTAAATTTACAACAAAATGACTCTTACCTATGAAAAGAAAGAAATGTGAGATCACACATTTGGTGCATATGTATGATAGACCTCGTAGATTAGGATAAATTTCATTTTGTCAAAATAGGGTTGACCCCACCATTTATTGACAGCAATGAGAGCCTAACAATTATAAACTGTCTCAATAAGTCACTTATTATAGGTATAATATTCAAAAATGCCTCTTAAACTATTTATAGAAATTTTAAAAAATCTATGTTCTTTTTTTATGTTTAATTAAAATTTTATAATTTTATTTTGAGCTGAATAAACCCATATAGCTAACTCTCTGCATCAGTACCACATAAGTATAAGATGATAAATTATATTTTGATTAATTACAATTAATCAATCATTCATTATAAAAGATTACTTAATTTAAAATAAAAATATAAAAATTTATTTAAATTTTTATAAATAATTTAGAGGTTTTTTTTTCTAGTATTATGCCATTAAATTATATAAATTCAAAACTTTATTACTTAAGAAAATCTAACAATAATATGAGAAGAGAAAAAATCTGTTGCCAGCCACCCCCACCTACCCTTTGTTCATTGAATCAAGGTGTGATTGATTATTATTGATAAAGACACTTTGTTGTGCGTGATGTGTTGGAGAATGTATTGGGAAAAAGCCCAAATATTTAAGGATCAAACTTAAACTAAACCACCCACAGTTTAAGCTGAGTAGTCATGGGTTTTACAACTATATGTATATAAAGTCTCTTATTTAAATATTAAATTTTCTATATAGAGATCATTTTCACCTATTTTTTATCAACATTTACATTTTCTTCATTGTCACTATATCCATTGATATTCTTTGATGCTACCTTGACGTCAATGCTAACGTCAACATTAAAAACCAAGGCTTGGGGGGGATTTTAGAAAATATTTTTAAAAACATAATTATTTTTGACGTGTTCAACTACCGAGTGTCAGTCATAATCATGCTTTATATATAATTATTATCCTAGGAGAAATGTGTTAGGATTGTCATCCAGCTATTGCAGAATCAGATTCCAACTTCCTTCTTTCGTTAAATTTTATGCGAATTTGGAAGACTTTTGCAATACAATAATGTTTTGAAAATTACTATCTATGCATCTTGGATCTTGTAGTTGTCTCTGACTCTGATGGATTGCTAGTAATTCAACTAAGAGCCTCTTTCTCTTTCTTATGCATCTCAGTATGCCATTATAAATATATCTCACTTTTGGATCTTCAGTTGCATCATTAACCAGATTAATAATTTCATAAAATAAATCCATGCTTCTCTAGAAGATTAGGGATGGACAAGCTTGTTTCAGACTGGTGCACTGATCAATCTTTGCCTGAGTCTTATATTCTCCCACCAGAAACAAGACCAGGCAAGCTCAGCATTCCTGGTAGTGATAACATTCCAGTTGTTGACCTCGGGGAAGCATCAACTAATCGAAGTAACGCAATTCAGAAAGTTCTGAAAGCTAGCCAAGACTTCGGATTTTTCCAGGTTGTTCATGCTTTATTCTTAAAGAAAAAAACGTTATCAAATTGTTTTTGGTCTTCCATGCTTAACGAGATAGCAGGGCTTGAATCTGTTTTCCACTAAATAGATTACTTTTGGCCTCACCCATCATGTACAACTTTAATCCAATTTTATTTTTGAAAATTTTCCGAACAATATCATGGGTTGTTGATTTGGTTTGTTTGGGTTGCCCTTTGGTATTTTTCCTACTAAATATAATAATTATTTATATATGTTTACAATTCTTTGGTTGTGATTGTTATTTGTTTACTCAAAATTTCATTTAGAAACAAAAAGAAGGTGCTCCTTGTCTAGAAGGATTCAGGTCGAGGATATAAGTTTATTTATATCTGAACCTCTTGAATGGTTACATAATTGACCATATTTCTGTTTGTCCTATGAAATGTCGAATCATAAACTTGACTATTCTTTCTTTAAAATAGGTTGTTAAGCATGGAGTTTCCCAAAAAGTATTGAATGGCACCATGAGCGTTGTCCAGGAGTTCTTTGAGATGCCTACCGAGGACAAGGCAAGCCTCTACTCTGAGGACCCAAACAAAGTCTGCAGGCTGTACACAAGCAATACAAACTACGGTTGTGAAAAGTTTCACTTTTGGCGTGACGTTTTGAAACACCCTTGTCATCCTTTAGAGGAATGCATTAAACTTTGGCCTGATAAGCCAACTAGTTACAGGTGAGGCCCGATCAGTTCACAAACTACGACTTCACCATTTCTTTTTGCCTTTTCTTCATCATATAATCTTACTCATCTCCGCAATGTTCTTTATAGAGAGGTTATCGCAACATTTTCGGTGGAAGCAAAGAAATTGGGTTTAAGAATCCTGGAGTTGCTTTCAGAAGGCTTAGGGCTTGAATCTGGGCACTTCGAGAAGGATCTAAGTGAAGCTCTGCTGTTAGTGGCTAATCATTACCCACCATGTCCGGATCCAAGTTTGACCTTGGGATTACCTAAACATTGTGATCCTAATCTCATAACTATTCTACTTCAAGGAGATGCCTGTGGACTTCAAGTCTTCAAGGATGGAGAATGGATTTGTATTGAGCCTCTGCCTAATGCATTTGTGGTTAACATAGGCCACCAGTTACGGGTATATTTTTCCCCTTTTTTGATTATGTTCACATGGTAAACTCCAAATCAAAGTTTTCCAAAATCATCAGATGATTAAATGAAGGCAGCATGAAGAGAATCCTTATATTTACTTTTTATACTCTGCGTAGCATACTTTACATCTATGGTAAAAATAAAAAAAATATGTATATAAATGACAGAGATAAATAAAGTTGTTTCTTCTTTGTACTAGAAGGTAGGGTAAAGCAATTTGGTTTACATTGCTGCATGAAATTTGTTAAAATTAGAGTATTCAAACTTATGGATATTTGTATTGATTTATGCATGTATATTAGATTGTCAGCAACAACAAATTGAAAAGTGCTGAACATCGCGTTGTGACCAACTCGGAGATGGCTCGAACAACCGTTGGCTTATTTATCAGTTCCTGTGATGATAGCATTATAGAACCCGCAAAATCTCTGACCAATGCAAGCGACCCTCCATTGTATAGAGCTTTTCAGTACAAAGATTTTCTAAGTAACTACGTCTCCATGATGGGGGACACTGAGTTAGCTCTACAGCCTTTTAAGTTGCAATTTCATCAAGGGCTGATTTGAAGTTTATGGCATACTTCGATTCCACCATATAATTACTTGTAAATTTAATTTTACTTTCCTAAGTACTGTTTTCCTTTGTATCTATATATATGCATACAAATGTCAATATCAATACTATACATAAAAGTACATTAAAAGTAGAGAATATTGTGAGAAAAAACTTTTTTCATAAGTTCAATTCAAGAATACTTCTCATTATAATTTTAAATGTTTTTATCGAATTTTTGGCCTGATTTGAAAATAATACTCTTTAAACAATTTCCTCCAAATTAAATGATTTTGATTTTTTCTATCCCATTGTGCAGATAAAAATTCTGAAATTAAATCTCAATTTTTTTTTCTTACCAAAAACTGTCTATCTCATCATCTAGCTCTCTTTTGCCATCTTAAAGAGCAGATATGATATCAAGGTATGTGTTTTGAGTTCTTGAGTTTATTGGTTTATATTTATAAAACTCCAAAGTTGACAGGTTGAAATTAATTAAATATACTTGAAAATTAAAACACTGTATAGCTTTAGCAACTTAAACCTAACTGCAAGCAGGCAAGTGAATTCAACAAGATAGCCACGTGTTCCTCCCCTAAAGAAATTTGGGACACTTCAGAGAATTGTTATGAAGGCACTTCACAAGTTAAAGAGTAAAAATTTGGGTTATTGACTCTAGATCATGAATTGTTTAAGATGATGGATGAAGAGCCAATAAAAGAAATGTATAAGAGATTCACCAAGTTCATTGGATGATTAAAGGCATTGTGCAAGGAATTTCCAAACACACAACTGGTGAAGAAAATACTCTATTGTCCTCCAAAGTCATGGGGACCAAAAATGATGGCTATTGAAGAAAATTCTTGGATCTTTGCTCACCTATGAGATGCAGTTAAAGCATAAAAAAGAAAGAGATGAAGCAATTAATGAAAATATCAAAGCAAAGAGCATAGCCCTCAAAGACGTCAAAGAAAATTTTGAACAAAGAATTAAATTAAATGAAAGATTCAGAGAAAAAAGAAGAAAATGATGAAAAAATAGCCTTATTAACCAAAAGGTTCAATAAACTTGTAAAAAACAAACAAGGTGGGAAACCAAAAGACGATTTGGAAAAAAATGTGTCAAGAGAAGAATCAGTAAGGGAAGCAAAAGATGAAAAGTCTAGCAAAGATCACATCATATGCTATGATTGCAAAACACCATGACATACTTATTATCAATGTCCAAATGTCAAAAGGAGTCATCCAAAGAACGTAAAGAAGAGAACAATGGTAGCCGCATGGAGTGATAAAGATGAATCCTCAAGCAGAGATGAAGAGATTGCAAGTTTCTGCCTTATGACATTAAATGATTTTAAGGACAAGGAAAAATGTGTAACATTCAATGCAGAAAAAAAGGAGTCACAGTATCCTGATGCTGAATGCCTGAGTCATGTTACTATTGTTGAAAGGAAGATTTTTAACTTGAAAGCAAATCAAGGAAATATGTTACTTGATGTTGGCACTAGAAGAGAATCTGAAGACACTGATACTATAACCCTAAGGGACATAGACTCCAATGCAACAACATCAGGATGTGAACAATCTCAGATCCTCCCATTTTCAACGGTGAAAATTTTATTAGCTGGAAAAGTGAAATGAAGCTGTTCATTTAGACAAGTCATGTTGAAGCATGAAAGATAATCAAAGATGGCCCCTTCACATTAGACAAGGAAATAAATGACTGGGACTCAGGTGACATAGATAAAATACAACTCAATGCCAAAGCAAAGCATCTTCTCCTTTCAGCAGTTGAAGAGAAAATATAACTAAAGGTTTTCCTTTATGAAAATGCAAAGCGAAGAAGGAGAACTAGAAGATGGCTGTGGAAAGTTCAAATTCTCAAGGCAAGGATACATGGTAAGTCTTCAATCTCATGAATCGCCTTCTTTTTCAATTGATAATATAGAAACAGCTTTTGATGAGTTGACTTGTGAGTATGAGAAATTGAAACACAAAGAAGAGATTTCCAGTCTTAATGTTGAAAATGATTTCCTGAGAAATGCTAAGCTTGACCTAGAAAATGAAAACAAACAAAAAATTAAGAATTAATTTTAATTGTTGTCTACAGGACTTTGATGATTTAGGAAAGGAAAATAATAAATTGAAAAATGTCCTTAGAAATGTTAAGAGGCAGAATGATTGATTAAAGATGATGTTTGTTAAACTATCGTTATGTGTAGCAAAATTGTTCTCTTGATTGCTGTATTTGTAGAACACATCATGCATAAATTTTTACATTGATGTAGTCAAACTCACTCTTCGTTCTCTTACATGAAAAATTGAATGCATATTCTTCAAAAGTGGATTCTTGAGAAGTTATGAAACTCAAAAGAAAATCACGGTATCGAAACCGACCTCAAAATGTCCTTCAATCAATTTAAATCACTTCAAAAGTGATAAAAACCATTGAACTTCAATTTTCAGAAATTGTCAAATCGTTTTCTCTCCATTTAATCAAGCTTCATTTTATCTTTTTCTCACCCCAAACGTGTGATCTCTTACAAAAATTTCTCTTGAAATATTGAAAGCTTAAACCTCTCTCAACAAAAATTCTTAATTTCTCTGTCACGATAAATTTTCTTCCTGCAACAGTTTCCTGAAACCCACTTCCTTCACAGTGAGTTGTGAGTTTAACAAAGCATCAAAGTCAACCACACCATCTGCAGAAATTAGCCATGGCCCCTAAAAGATCGAGAGAAGAAAAAGAAAAGGCACCAGCAACTAACTATAAAAGTCAGAAAACCTAAATACTAAATCCCTTTGACGTAAACTTTCAAGCCAAGGCAAACAAGCAGAAATTTGAGAAGGGATATATTGGAAGGGAAGTGGTTCATGGGAAAATCATTGATTTGGAGTTGTTCGAAAGAGTGTCAAATTTCCTTATCTCGAGAATTTGTAAAAATTAGGGTGGTATGGCTTTCTAAATTTGAGTAGACCGGTTTATGAAGATCTAGTGAGAGTCTTCTATTCAAATGCTACAACAATATATAGAGGAGATTATCATGAGGAAATTGTGGATCATGATGGGTCTTCCTTACCTCTCTCGCAAGTAAGGAGTCAATCATTACTCCCACACTCTTGCAAACGATGCTAAGGTTGAAGCTTACAAAGCAAAAAGGCGCCCACTCATATGTATGATGAAAATGAGATTTCTGAAGAAAAATTGAGTGTTGAATTTCTAGTTGGTCCTGTCACTTCTCTAAAATGCTCTAATAATCCAAGCAGATTAAAGATTGATGATAGAATTCTGCACCTAATTGTCACGAAAATTCTCAGACCTTTTGGGCACAGAACTCTCACGGCTACTGTTGAGGATATGTGGTTCATGCATCATATTAAGAGGTGCACTCTTGTTGATCTTGCTCAGTTTATCTACAGAGACATGGAAGTTCTGGCCTTAGTTTGAAATTGTTAACTTTGAAATTGGCTTGAGTTTTGAAATGAGAGAATTCAATGATTTAAATATGTTTGTGAGCCTAAAAGAAAAATCCTTGATATGAAAGAACTTTCCTCAAAGAGTTTTTAAAGCTATTTGTGAAAAATAAAATTATTTGAATGTTTTAAAAAACAAGTTCTAGCAAGGAAAAATAAACTTTTGAAAGTGAAGTATTGATTCCTTGAAAGATAGAAAGCTAGGAAGTTGGATATTTTATCTTAACACCCAAACAATTCTTTGATTTACCTCACATTGTGCTCAACTATAGCAAACCAAAGCTGTCCAAGAGATTCATATGCAACCTTTAGCGAAAGTCCACACCAATGATCTCCAAGAATCCTTCTCAAGGATTAGGATTACTCTTGCCTCTACAAAGTGCTAGCTACGTTGATTATAAGAATCAAACTTTCACCATTGCAAACACACCCTTGGCCAAAAGCCTTAGAGAATAAAAAAAATTTTCTTTCTCTTTTGCAAGAGGTGGCTATAGAGTGGCTAGGTCTTTGTGTTTTGACACTTTCTTGTGAAAGTGAGGCTTAAATTAGGTTTTTATAATTAGGATTAATTTCAGCCCATGTGTGGGAAATTACATAACATTTTATGCAATTATGAATTAACTCCTCACTTAATTAAACTATTTTAATTAAGTGCTTAATAGCTCATAACTACTAACTTGATTAAGTCTTACTTAATCACTTATCCCAATTTATTTTTGGATCTGATTTTGAGTGTGTAACCTATTAGGCTTCTAATATGTTGACAATATTCTTACGATATAATCTTTAAATTAATTTTAAGATTACATAAATTCAAACTAGTTTGAATTTATCATTGATCAAACCAACCATCCTATGATCATAGAACAAAAGCGAGATCTAGCAATCTATTATGGCCACCCAAATGTTGAAAAAGTTAAGATGGTTTGACTCAACATTTTAGTGATCAGTCTTTAGTGTAATTCAATCCTTTCACTATGTATCTCAGAAAGCTTAGAAGCATAGTGCAGTGTCAACCCCTAAGACTTTCCATATCAATCATGACACTAATTAGCTATCTTGGATTATAGGAAACTTATTTCCTAGAATCCATTGTACTCTGGCCAAAGTATTAACATAGACTAACTCAAGGCATGAACAATCAAGATACATCTCCTTAATCACTTGGAGTGATGGATTTTATCTTAACCACTCATTTCCCTTCATATGCTTCATGCTATACCCAATGTTCATCTTTTTTAGACATCATTGCTTAGGACTTGGAAAGATAAAGTCAAAGTATAACACTCCACACATAAGGTAACCTAGTGTCTCAAGTTTAATGATCACTTGCATGATTGTCATATAAAGATATACTCCATTGACACTAAAGTGAAATACTAAATAGAATCATCATGTCGAGTCATGTTTAGTGAACTTGTTCCTAAAACATGCACCTACATTCTTGTTCCAAGCATCCCTATACTTCAACCTATGCGATCAGTTGCTTATTTTCGAAGTAAAGAACATAAAATGTACTAATCTTTAGGCATCATTAGTGTCTAATCTCAATGATACATCAACTAGGAACAATTTAGAGATTATGCTTTGATGTATAGGGATCTCATAATTGTAACATTTTACAATTCCCTTACAAGGAATGTTAATCTCATGGACTTCATCCAATAGACTTA